CCTTCACTGCTCAATCGAAACGGAGGCAAGAACGGCAGGATGAAGGACACGGCGGACAAGATGCGTTTGGGAACATCGATGTCAACGATCAACGTCTTCGATGGTATGCGGTCACCGAGCTCAGTGAGTTAATCTGCGAACTTTGTGTGAAAGAAATGCAGATGAACAAGTCGAAGGTGCTCGGGTCAAACTCAAAATACAATCCCACTTCTTGCGTGAACTGTTGCGCGAACTGGAATGCGGACACGAACGGTGTTGTGAGATCAACCGAAGGGAGGAAGCTGTATACGCGACTTTTCGCAGAATGCGTGGTTGCAATCCCGGACTTCAACATCTCATGGTGAACGTCAACAATGTTCAGGCCATGACCACGATTATACGGGAGCTTGCGTATTCCAAGCTGAAGAAAGAGCTATCCCACGTGGGTTTCGTGAGCATGACAATGGATCAGGCAGCACAGTTCTACAATAACGGACACGGGAAGCAATTGTGTGCATCCCGGGATGTGATCACGTGCAAGAATTCCGAGGGAGTTGAGGAGAGGACCTCCATCTTTGTGATAGACAGAGATATTGGCAACGTGGCCTATTCATCCTGGATCAAGAGCGTGCTTGATCAGGGGACGATGTATGATCTCCTGGGACAAACTACGAATGAGGAGTCCTTGGGGGACGTCGTCGAGATGATATTGGGTTTCTTTGAGGTGATGTCGTACTTTCAGCACGAGCTTCCGTTATGGAAAGATGCATGGAAGATCAAGAGGGAGTTCGAGCAATCAATCGTACGACACCTCGCCGGGAACGTGAGCCACACGACGGGCCAGAACCGAAAGCGGAACAAACCGTCCGCCCAGCTCGGGGCGCCCACGAAAGAAGTGTTGGACATCATGAACACGGTCAAGCCCAGACATCCGCGATCCCTGACGGCCGAGCATGCCACCCAAGGATCCAAGAGGAAGGCAACAGAGAGTGGAGGCGACGGTCTTGGTCAAGTGCCAGACCCGAGCCGAAGCTCTCAGCCCAACGTTGAGAAAGAAGAGAAGAAGCAGCGAGTGATTGATGGGCGGAGAGCTGCACTCGAGTTCCTAGTCTCAATAAAAAAATTGCATGGGAGAGATGGGAATTTGCATGAGATGCGCGAACCTGGCCCACGACGGCGACTGCAAGAACTATGAGGAGGCTGCTGGGAACGAGAAGGCGATGAAGAAGATCCGTGAGCTTCTCAGCAGCGATCATGTTTCCTCGGATGAAGAAATGGGGGATACGGAAGAACCGTCCTCATCGGCGTCCAAGGAACGCAAGAAAGGAGGGCAAGAAGGGAAAGAGACAATAGAAATGTATAGCTATACCATCAATCTGGTGGAGATGGCTGACACGGCTGAGGGAGGAGAGCTACAATGCGGTGGCGTGGACCTCACCTACAATCCGTGCGGGGACAACAGAACGTTCAAGACGACGCTAGAGCGAGGGTGTGACACCATCCCATGTTACATCCCGAAGTTCGGCGACGTGAGCGATGTGCATATGCCATGGGCGTACGCATCTATTGTTGACCCCAAGTACTTTCCCAAGGGTGCCGGCCTTGAACAGGTGGATGTGATGCAGCTTGGCAAGAGCGTCAATTTCTGCGTTGCTCCCTTTGACGGTGCTCCACTATGCAAGATTGGCGACGATCGCTCGGTATTTGCTACGAAAGATCAAGCAAACCAGCTATCTCACGACCTATGCAGAGTCCTTCGACACAAAATCGGCAATTGCCGAGGAAGTGTTTTCAGATGCGATGAAGGTGGATGGGTCGACATCGACGCAGTCATTGACGACCGAAATAACGACATATTCCCACCTTCAACTTCGAGAGCAAAACGATACATGGGCATCATGGAAGTGATCAAGTGGCAGGAGTCCGGACACAAGAAATCGAGATTTCAGGTCTTGGCAGCAAGGTTTCCAAGCGTCATGAACCCGAATGACATGAAGGCGGCCAGGGAGGACATGAACTATGCTGGCCTGGATCGGGATGACATCGACAGGATGTTCAACAGATGCCATGGATGATACAGGCCAGTCACAACTGGTCACAGTGATTTTGGATTCATGAGCTCATCCGCACTGGCAAATAGGTATTCTGCAAGAATGGGTGATTCTCTCGGAGGAGCATTCCGTGTAACGTATGTGGAGAACCTGCCGAGCATCGTACGCTGTGGGCTAGTCCCCGGCGGGATCGATGGCGGAAACAGGCTAGCATTGCACTTCGGAGCATTCGCTCCATGGGATGAGATGAACGTAGCAACGAAGGTGACGCTACGAAACGTAAGGTCGGGGGATCCGATTGCGATCATCTACATTCCCAGTGCAACCCTCGCGCGGTATGGAGCTGGAGTCGCGGCAAATGGGACATTCATGGTCTTTGACGTGATCCCGTTCTATGAGGTCAAGTCCATTTGGATTGGCAAAAGCAACGGAGGGAAGCGCCTGGAGTACGAGGACGTCAAGCGAGCGTACTCGAAATGTGTGGAAAACGAGATCTGTCCGGGTTTCGTTGATTCATCCCAGGAATCGGCTGCGATGTTCCTACAGAACGTCGCGAAGATCAACGAGAGGATGCCTGAGACCGAGGCAGGTGCCGACAATCTGCACTACATCAAAGACATGGTTGATCGTGCATGCAAACTGTTTCGGGAAAACAAGCTGGAGGAGTTTGATGCGCAGACCAACGAGATCAGGGACGAGATCAGCAAAGTCGTCATCCTGAATGACGAGACATGGGAAGGACTAAGATGCCGGATATGTCCGTCATGTGCGACCGCGATTCCCACATGCTTCTGTGTGTGCCTGGAGTGTGGGGCGCAATTGATCTCTACCGGGAGATTTTGCATCCACATCAGTTCCGACGACGATGGGGACAACCAAAGGCCCAATGTTTCGGGTGATGCCAGGCGCGCACAAGACGAAGCCAACCATGGTGCGGCAGCACAGGAAGAGGATGATGAGGCGGAGAACGTTCCTGAGGACGACGACATGGACACGCAAGGATACACGTCCGGCTACATGTCTGAGGAAGAAGGTGGCGGTTGGCAATACCGCGACAATGACTTGGCATCGCGGGATATCATTAATTCCCAGCGGATGGCGATTTGCCTTGATGAGCCGCGCGAAGCTCAATACATGGCGGGATTCATCGCGCTGCAGATGTCAAAGATGTGGGGGATGTTCGAAGGTGGTGAAAAGAGAACGATCGATGCCGCGCTCGAAGGGAAGCAAGGCTGCCCATACCACAACGACTTCAAGAAGTACCCCAACATTACGGAGATTGATCAGGAAGGGATCCTTTTGCCATCGACGGTACTGAAGATTTCTCAATCTCAGAACGTTCGAGAAAGGACCTTCCGGTCGGCTGAGGAGCGTAATGAATACATTCGTCTGATGGTGTGCAAGTGCGAGGGGCTATACATATTTTACAAGCTGTGGATTGCAGCGAGAATCCTCGACATCACCAAAGACGAAATGAAGCTCCTGGTCAAGGATCGCGTGCACCCGGTGGGTGATATCATTTACAGATGCTTCTCCCTGGCTTTCAACTGTAAATATATATCGTTCGTAAGGGAAGGCCTGAACCTTGGCAGACATGGTTATTCGGTCAATGTGAGCGCCATTATTGCAGCCACTGACCCGAACAAATGCGACACACCTCTGCTGGATTGGTGCCTACGAATGGGGCATTGGATGCCAGAAGATCATCACAAGAAGTGTGTCCGGGCGCGAGAAGCCCAAAAGAATTTGGACGAAGAGTTCCGTCGACGTACCCACAGACTGTCCATTGGGGACAGGTATGCGTAATGCAGATGTGGATTATTATTGCTTATGTGGTGTGGCGCGCCCACCAACAGCGATACATATATTCACTCCGATGTTGATTGCGGCATGATGTGGGCTAGTCCCCATCTATTGCTTGCGTCTCATCAATGTCATTGCGATGGAACGACTCTACATCATGATATGATTTCATGCGTCCAAGATGAATGGATGTGTATACATTTACATATCCCGACGGCTATGACATTCCGGATATTCATGGATGGAACTATTACCTCATGGATGATTTCCTTTTCATTATGTATATATTATTCATGGTACCTGGAATGGCTATGTTTTGCATGTATTGCTCACCAAATCTTCTTTGCCGATGATATTCAGATGGCTCATGACCGTGCGCTACTATGGATTTCTATGGCCAACCCATTTCTATGGATGACGGCTGCGCGATGCGCAAATGCGGCAGCCGGGATTTCAAGTGGTTGCGTATTGGCTAGAGGCAAAATGTCTCTTGCATCTGAGTATAGGAATGTGCTACGATTTGTGGATGCATGTTTCTGCCTTGATTGGACCTGGCAAGTTTCACAATGAATGGACGGTGTAGCAATAGTGAATGAAAGAGTGTTCGACACGGTTTCGTAGCTGAAGCCATGGCGATTGGAACGTTTTGTGGTGTTTGGACCGCATGATGAACAATGCGACCCAAATGGGGGATGTTAAAACCCTCCTGGCCCCGTGCCTAAATTGGGCAGCAGTTCTGAGGTCCGTGTTTGTATTGCTTACAAGGTTCCATTGATTGCCATTTGGCTCAAGTCACAAGTGAGGTTCAAGATCTTATGTGAAGCTGCGTTCATACGTGATCGCCAATTGAGAGCGGAAAACACTTCGCTTGCGCTGCATTTGTCAGGACCACTGTTGTAACTATTATTCCTTCTCCCTTACAACAGTTACACGGGTTCGGCTATAACGGTTTGACCGTATACGCCTTTCTACGTGGTTGGTATTTACAGCTGGAGGGTTCGGTGGACAGCGTCCCACGGGACGTCACTTTGCCGTCTCTTGACACCATTTGAGGTGCTCAACGCGGGACAGACTGTGATTTGATAGGATTGCAAAGCTATGAGGTCATTGTAGGGAACAGGCCTCATGTGCCCCAAGCCCTATTTTGCGATTTTGCGCGTGGTGGGCAGGTGCAGAAGCAGCTGGACATGATGGATGAAAATGGTGACGGCAGCGTCAGCAGGGCAGAGTTTGACAAGGCCGTGGTGGTGTTCATGATGCATGTGCCGCACCACATGAGGGTCATGCAGGTGATGCATGCCTTTCAGGCTGTAAATGTTGCATGCGCAGCAAGGCCTATTGAAGTATAGATACATATGTCCCGTGTTCCGTGTTGCTTCCCCCCCCCCATATGGTATGGGTCTGCCAGGACCCCCTCCCCCGGCCCGAGACCCCGAGCCCCCGGATCCTGGCACCTACGGCCCCACCTCCAACCCAACCCCCTGAACTCGCACCCCGACACCCCGGCACCCCCACCCCCAGGACAAGCCAACCCGCAACCAACCATAAACCAACCCTAAACACACCCTAAACCAAACCCTAAACCATAGACCTCTAAACCTAAACCAACCCTAAATCAACCCTAAACTAACCCCAAATACACCCTAAACCAATCCCTAAACAATTAAACCCTAAACCTAAACCAACCCTAAACCAACCCTAAGCTAACCCTAAACCAACCCCAAATACAGCCTAAACCAAACCCTAAACCATACACCTCTAAACCTAACAACCCTAAACCGACCCTAAATCAACATAAACCAACCCTAAACCAACCCTAAACTAACCCTAAATACACCCTAAATCTACCCTAAACCAATTCTAAGCCAACCCTAAACCACCACAACCCAACCACAGGACCACAACCGCAGGGGGGGGGGGGGTACTTGTCTGACCCATGACCATTGGAGGGGGGGGGGGGCGCTGGCAACGCTGTAATATATATATATATATATGTTCCCTTCGCCCGTCGTCCCCAGCCCCCCCCCCCCCAATGGTATGGGTCCATCCAAGGGCGGGGCGGGGGGGGGGCTATGGGCCCCCCCCCCCCCACCCTTAGAGGGTGGCGGGGGCTTGTGGGGCAGCTTGCTCCAGTGTGCGCACGACCTTGCGGGTGCGTTTGCGGCTCTGTTCGTGTGTTGCGCTGCAGTGCGATTTGCTCATTTCGCAGCACGCGACAAGTTGCAGCGCTGTCGCAAGTGACAGTGCGCAATGCCACGACGCAGTTTGTGGTTTGCAGCGCCGCAACCAAGTGCTAACCAAGTGCGCTGCAACGCGCCAGTGGCAAACGCACTTTGCTACCTACTATAGACCCCAACCCCCATTCCCACAGGGGGGCGGGTGGTGTGGGAACCATGGTCACACTGTGCTACCTTTTGCCATTTCACAGGGGCGGGGAGGCTTGCGGCCACACTGTGCCACAATTCTTTCAGGGGGGGTGGCTTCTCGCATTCCGATCTCCAACCAAATGTCACCCTTGACGTGTAGATGAACCGTCTCCTTCTCAGGTGTTATCATGAACGGCAACTTCCCACAAATCCAGTGAAAAGAGTATCCCATCTTCACACATGGACCCCCCTCCCACCCATCCCACACAAGAACGCAGGGCTTGTGAGGTCACACTGTGATACCTTCTTGACTGAGCATGACCATTGGGTGGGGGGGTGGGGGGATGGCCGCCTGGAACATATATACATGTATATCACCTGCGCTTGATCCTACAGGTATGCGCAAGCAAGGATTTTTAAGCTTGTTGAATGGTGCAGAGGCTGTCAAGCAGCAGACAGCCTTGGATCTGAACGGCGACGGAGTTGTGACAGCACAGGAAGTTCAGCAGGCAGGGGGTTGAGCAGCATTGGGCAGCAGAAGTGCTGTGCATTTGCGCTGCGCTGATTTTGATGATGTAAATCCGCATGTTGTGAGCAATCTGTGCCAATGCATTGGCAGTCAGCGCAGACAGCTGCAGGCGAAGGACACTTTCAGAGCCCTGGACACCAACGGCGATGGCGTCGTCAGCCGGCAAGAAGTTCCGAAGGCGCCGTAGCACTGAAGAGTGAGTGGTTCGCGATTCGGCCAGAAGCATTTGTAGGTAGTGGAGAATGGTTTTCAAGGAGTGCGAACCAGCAGGTGTTGTGTTGTCACCTTCCTGAATAAGTCCTATTCATTTCTTTGAGAGCAATCTGTGCGCGCGGCGTCGCTTCGCATATCGTTCAACCCATTTGAGGTGCTCAACACGGGACAGACTGTGATTTGATAGGATTGCAAAGCTATGAGGTCATTGTAGGGAATCGTAGAATGATGTGTAAAGCAGGCCTCATGTGCCCCAAGCCCTATTTTGCGATTTTGCGCGTGGTGGGCAGGTGCAGAAGCAGCTGGACATGATGGATGAAAATGGTGACGGCAGCGTCAGCAGGGCAGAGTTTGACAAGGCCGTGGTGGTGTCCATGATGCATGTGCCGCACCACATGAGGGTCATGCAGGTGATGCATGCCTTTGTATTCTCACAAGACCTGGATTGCAGGCTGTAAATGTTTGCTTGCACAGCTAGGCCTATTGAAGTATAGATACATATGTATATATATATATGCATATGTATATTATCTGCGCTTCATCCTACAGGTATGCGCAAGCAAGGATTTTGATGCTTGTTGAATGGTGCAGAGGCTGTCAAGCAGCAGACAGCCTTGGATCTGAACGGCGACGGAGTTGTGACAGCACAGGAAGTTCAGCAGGCAGGGGGTTGAGCAGCATTGGGCAGCAGAAGTGCTGTGCATTTGCGCTGCGCTGATTTTGATGATGTAAATCCGGTCTTGCGGAATGTTGCGCATGTTGTGAGCAATCTGTGCCAATGCATTAGCAGTCAGCGCAGACGTCTGCAGGCGAGGGACACTTTCAGGGCCCTGGACACCAACAGCGATGGCATCGTCAGCCGGCAAGAAGTTCAGAAGGCGATGTAGCACTGAAGAGTGAGTGGTTCGCGATTCGGCCAGAAGCATTTTGTAGCTAGTGGAGAATGGTTTTCAAGGAGTGCGAACCAGCAGGTGTTGAGTTGTCACCTTCCTGAATAAGTCCTATTCATTTCTTTGAGAGTAATCTGTGCGCGCGGCGTCGCTTCGCATATCGTTCAACCCATTTGAGGTGCTCAACACGGGACAGACTGTGATTTGATAGGATTGCAAAGCTATGAGGTCATTGTAGGGAATCGTAGAATGATGTGTAAAGCAGGCCTCATGTGCCCCAAGCCCTATTTTGCGATTTTGCGCGTGGTGGGCAGGTGCAGAAGCAGCTGGACATGATGGATGAAAATGGTGACGGCAGCGTCAGCAGGGCAGAGTTTGACAAGGCCGTGGTGGTGTCCATGATGCATGTGCCGCACCACATGAGGGTCATGCAGGTGATGCATGCCTTTGTATTCTCACAAGACCTGGATTGCAGGCTGTAAATGTTTGCTTGCACAGCTAGGCCTATTGAAGTATATATATATATTTATATATATATATATATATAAAAGCACACATATCTATATCACCTGCGCTTGATCCTACGTAGAGGTATGCGCAAGCAAGGATTTTGTTGCTTGTTGAATGGTGCAGAGGCTGTCAAGCAGCAGACAGCCTTGGATCGGAACGGCGACGGTGTTGTGACAGCACAGGAAGTTCAGCAGGCAGGGTGTTGAGCAGCATTGTCGCAGCAGAAGTGTCGTGCAGGTGCGCTGCGCTGATTTTGATGATGTAAATCCGGGCTTGCAGAATGTTGCGCATGTCGTGAGCAATCTGTGCCAATGCATTGCCGGTCACGCAGACGTCTGCAGGCGAAGGCTACTTTCAGGGCCCTGGACACCAATGGCGATGGCGCCGTCAGCCGGCAAGAAGTTCAGAAGGCGCCGGAGCACTGCCGCTTGCAGGCTTTGTTGTCCCAGGCAGATGCCTGCTCGCAATGCTACTTACTTTTCGGTGATTGTTTGTCGCCATATGGAGCTGCTAATTCGTGGTTTGGATCCCATGGAACTGAGGGGACAGACTCGCAGGAATCGCGCCAGTTCATTTGCATACCCTGAGCTCCGTTAGGCTCGGCTGCCAGCCGGCCCGAGCGAGGCATGCGGGCAGCTTCTTAGAGGGGGAGTCTAACGGGAACCAGAGTCCGATAGAGGAGCAATAGCTATGCGTGGCAGATGCTGACAACATGAGGGATGCACATGGGAGTGTTGATGAGTAATATTGAAACCATCCGTTGCATTCATGGAACATAGAATGTATTGTGCCTGGGCCAGCAAAGTCTTGCCACTTGAAAACAAACCGAAGGAGAGATGAAGGCGACCGCTTGGTTGGAAGAAGTGTCGCTGCGTGTGCTTTGTTAGTAGGCAAAAACATCGAATCCTGGAGCATAGGGCTCTGACGTTGACAACTCTTTGTGTCGGTTGCAGACCGAATTGGTTGTTTGTCATGGGGTTGATGTGGGAAACGTTCGGCCTTAGGTTGAGGTCAAGGCCATTCGCAGGGCAAACGCCAATGCTGTCCACAGTCTGTGATGCTAAATTGTAGCGCAGGATACATGTTTGTGATGTTGGTTGCCGTGGTCGCTGTCATTGCGGTCCGTGTGCAGTTCTGCGAACATCGATTGTGTATTGCAGCGCTGCTTGCTTGGAGTATCTAACCGGAACTAGCATTCCATTGTCACTCATTGAGTCTGGATTGTGTTGGTCGATTTTCACGTTGGCTGCATCGTATTCCTTTCGGGAATCAGCAGTTGCCTTTTTTAATGCACCCTTACTTTTTGCCGCGACCAATCCTTTTGCGCTGCTTTGTTCTCGAGCACGCTGCACAATCGGATGTTATCCAGAAGCATGTCTCAAGGGGATGACTTGGTCGCAGCGCAGATTGAAGCACACGTTTCTGGTTCCACCCGCATTGATCAAATACGCATGGCCTTTGTCTGGTGCTGCTTCTTTGCAGGCCACACTTTCTATAGTGTCAGGTGCCCGCCTGATTGTTTTCCTTCCGCGCCTACTTTTTGCGTGTGGTGACTCATGGTCTATTTGCTTTCAACAGGTTTTTGTGTGTAGTCTTAGTCTTAGGCAGGCAAGTGACGGACCGGGGCTAGTCTACTTTGCCAGGAGTGGCAGGAGGAGTTTCTGAGGCGAGGAGAGTTGGGAACTGGAATGGCTCAGCTGTGGGAAACTCCACAAACTGAAAACCAGATTGCTCCCGGCGCTGGATAGAATGGCGACATACAAAGGAAATACAAAAGGCAGTGCAAAGGACATACAAAGAAAATACAAAGCACATACAAAGGACATGCAAAGGACATACCGAGGAAATACAAATACAAAGGAAATACAGAGGACATACAAAGGAAATACAAAGGTCATACAAAGGAAATGCAAAGGAAATACACAGGAAATACACAGGAAATACAAAGAAAATACACAGGACATGCAGAGGAAATACAACAGGAAATGCAAAGGAAATCTAAAGGAAATACCAAGGAGATAGAAAGGACATGCAAAGGACATACAAAGGAAATACAAAGGACATACAAAGAAAATGCAAGGACATGCAAAGGAAATCCAAACGACATACAAAGGAACTACAAAGGACATACAAAGGAAATTCAAAGGAAACACAAAGGACGTACAAAGGACGTACAAAGGACATAGAAAAGATAAACAAAGCAAAGACACACAGAGGACATCCTTTGTATTTTCTTTATATGTTTCTTTGTATTTTCTTTGTATTCCCGCTGTATTTCCTTTGTATTTCCTTTGTAATTCCTTTGCATTTTCTTTGTATGTCCTTTTGTATGTCCTTTGTATGTCCTTTGTATTTCCTTTTTACGTCCTTCGTATTTCGTTTAGATTTCCTTTGCATTTTCTTTGTATTTTGTTTGTATTTCCTTTGTGTTTCCTTTGTATTTTCTTTGTGTTTCCGTGCTGGTCGGGATGGCCGTTACAAATCGTTTTATTTTCGGTCGTGGTAACTTTGTTTTTTTTGGTCGTGGTAATATTTAACAATTTGTGTTGTGGTTTCAGCCCGCTCTGCTGGTTGGATATAGATGATCGGCCTATGTCCCCACAATTCTAGAGGCCTGTTTGACTGCTTTTGAACAAGCTTGTACTGGAGCCAAGTAAGCACAAAACATGTGTGGCCTGCATAGCTGCAATGCCTCTGTCCGCAAGCAGATTTACGATCTTAGCTGCAAAGGCTAGATGTGCGAATCCCATTTTGGCATGGAATAGGGTTCTGCTGATCGTCCTCTGCTTCCTATAACCAGAATGTTTGGCATTTGACTGTTGGATTTGTTTTGTTTTCAGCGTTTGCCGTTGCATCTCATGTCAAGCTTTGCATTTCTGCTCGTTGCACACAAAATCCAGATCTGATACACATTTTCATCTATACAACGCTCGAGTGATGCATGACGTTTGGCTAACCTCGCTCCGGATGTTGTTACTTTTTTGGGCTCACTGTTCATCGGTGTTTGTTCGATTCAACAGCAGCGACTCTTATGCATTTTGGTTGGAATTCAGCTATCGTTCAGGAACCTTTTGAGAAAGCACATATTGTTCTGGTGGACTTTGTTCATCGGCTTCCATTTTCTTCAAGGAATGGCAGAGACCCTCCTTTGACAGTGGCAAGGTTGCCAGTTGCAATGCAATATCTTGTGTGGACAAGTGCAGACTTTCAAAAGTAGGCTGATCCCCATGAAGGGAAGGATGGGTTGCTTGGGGGCCCCTTTTCAGATTTGTGCCAATGCCGGGCTATTGAGCTATTGAGACAAGGCTTGTTGACTGTCAAGTCCACTTGGCGGCTCCCAAAGGGACAGTTTTGAAGGCAAACAAGAATGGGGCCAACCGAGTTTGGCACATTTCTCAACATTTTGCAGACCTCCCACCAGGTTACCAACACAAAAGGTGCGGGTTGGAGCGGCTCATTCGCAGGCGAGCTGAAGCTCGTCTTTTGGCGAAGCTTGGGCGCTCGGAGGCCATGGGTTTGCACCAGCCGTTTGGACTCCGAGGGACATTTGAAGGATGTTGAAACGCTAAGCACTTTTGTGGTTACAAAGATTTGAAGATGAAGCAATAAAGGATGTTTGAGTGCTTGTTCATTGCCAGACTTAGCTGGCCTCTGTTTTGGGCGAGGCCGCAAGACAACCATTTTCCAACTGACTCGCTTTTGGGTGCAGAGTCTAAGTTTGCTCAAGGTTTGAATGACCTCAGTTGCCTGATCCCGATGATCCACTTGGCATCCGGGGACACAAAGGCCCCATTGCGCTTCTCGTGCCGGCCTGTAGGCGGCTGTTTGGGTGTTGGGAACAAAGGTCTAGATTCCCGCAGCTCCAACTCCGAGAAGACCGCAGAACCTCAGATTAGGAGAAGAGTGTTTGCCTTCCTCAGCCAGCCTAACACTAGCCACTTTTTGCCAGGATGGCTGGTACGCTCGCATACCAGCACAACTTTGCCCGTTCCTACAGAGCAACAGCCGATCAACGCGTCATTCGGCACGGCTTCCTTTCTTGTCATTGTATGTAGTAGGTAGCATTGTTTGTTGCTCAGGTGCCCCTTAGAGAAGACCATCAGGGGACTGATATGTTCCACTCTTTTCCAGCTTCTCTGTTTACCGCGTTGTGCTGTTTCATGGACGGGACAGCCGTTGTGACGGTTTGAAGGGAGTCGTGGTCACTCGCTTGCTAGGAGCCAACCGCCGCTGCGGAGGTGTGCGGGCTGCTGGGGCTGGAACGCTCTTAGCATTTGCTTTCAGCATTTGTTTCAAAGGCTCAAACCAACATTTACATGCCAGTGTTTTGTGCTCCACCGTTTGTGGTGCATCGACGCAGGTATCAAGCACTGGTGACACCTTTCAGCATGGCACCGTTGCGCCTGTCACTTCGGGGGGGGGGGGCTTTTGCGAGGAAACAAGCAAGTTTTGATATCGAGTTGGGCAATATGTTGGAAGGTCACAACGGAGCCGACCATGGGAGGGGTCCAAGTTTTGCCCTTTGCCCATGGGCGTTTGGGATACCCCTAACATGGAGCTGGCTTGAGCATGGGTTCCGTGATCCTGGCGCTTCCTGGGGATTGTGTCCTATGAGCAGAGCATGATGACATGTGTAAGTGCTTACCTTGATTCGCCAGGCTGGAGCAAGGCTCGTTTTCTCCTTCCTTGTTTCCTCTATATATATATATACAGAATATACACATCTATATATATATATGTATATACACATGCACGCGTGGCCGGATTCTGGCATTGAAAAGGGCCCATGCGTTTCGCCAAGTCCTATCGCTTGAGTCTCAGGACTGAGGACTTGCTTTTTCTTAAGCCGATGGATCTTTGGGCTTCCCTGGGCTTGGAGAGCTTGCGCTGTTCATAAGCAGTGGATCCCTACGGGCAACCTTCAGGCACATGGTCAAAGAACAGCAGTTGTCCCAACCCTGCTGTCCCGACAAAGCGTGAAGCAAGATGTTCTTGGTCAAGTGTTTCTGGTTGTCCTGTGGTGATTTGTGTTCTTTTCCCAGTTGGTTCTCTACACCTCTGCTGGTTCTGAACTTCAGCTTGAGGTTCTGACTTGGGTCGTGCTTCCTAGAGATTGGCTCCAAACCCTGCAGCAGGCGAGCCGTCGGCTGCGGCCCCGGGGCGTGCCGTCGTGCCGTCGTGGGGACGGCTCGTGGGTCAACCTGACACCAATCATTTGGGGGAGTCCCCTATTTTAGGCAGGGGGCAAGCTTGCTGTTCAGCGCCGGGGGGACCATTCTTGGGAAACAAATCGCATGCCAACATCATTTTAGCGCTTATTCAAGTGCATTTTTCCCATCGCCTCCCATCTTTTCGTGCGTGATTGAGGACTAGCATATTGATGCGGGCCTTTCAAGATTGTCGATTGCCAGTATGCGCTGCAAACGCTGGCCTACTTAAAGGGGCCCCCAAAATAGTTATTTGAACAATGGTGGCTGTGGCTTAAACGTGTTTCGGTGGTTGGCAACGGCGCCTTCCCACTTGCTTGTACCTAGAGGTGCAATCAACAGTGTGCACGGCGCAGGAGCTTTCTACAGATGTCTTTCTGTTATATATATATATATAGATATAAGACAAGTGCGCATGCAGTTGACCTTTCTTGTTGAGCCGTGTGTTGCGTTGCTATTTACACTAAACCCCTTGCCAACGAGTCCTTAACTTGCGGATTGGGAACGGATGTAATGGATGCGCTGCTTTAACACTGTGGATTCGAGAAGCGACTTCTTGTGCCCTGGTGTTTTCCTAGGCCAAAGACAAGTCGCGTTGCTGCGACCTCAGCTTAAAGCTCGGCTTGAGCTACAAGGTTGATCCTGGCGCCGCATCTCGCACAGCTGATTCGAATGCAAAGTCTTGAATATAGCATGGGCAACACACTGTATTGCAATTCCCCAGGTTTTACACCTCTTACAGGTTGCAAACACGCTGGCAACCCCACTCCTGCACAGTTTGTGCCCTCAGGGTTTGTCAAAGTGGGCAGACTGCCTAGCTTGTCAGCTGTGGCTTGCAATAGGTGCTGAGGAGTGCTGACTGGGTTTGTCTTGAAAGGACACCCAAGGGGAAAACAGCTTTCTATTGGTCCCCTATCTTGAAACATACCCACCTGTTTACCGCGACTCAAAGAACAATCATCGGCGTTTCTTGCAGCACGCAAGAGCCGCATGACAAGTGCGAATCGCAATCGTGGCATTAGTGCCACCAGTTGGCAGTCAGTAAACTAAGTAAACTGTTATCAACGAGACTGGGGCTTAGGGTCTTTAGAACCCATGATGTTGCGGTTTCTGAGGACCTCGTTGGCTTTTTAACTGTTTGCCGCAACCGCGACAGCTAGAGTATGGGGTCTTAGACCCACTCCTGGGTTTGCACGATCACGGCGATTCTCCGTGAGCCCTCCGAGGTGCTGCGGCCCAGCAGCCAGCGTGCGCTGACGGGTCACCAGGGCCCTTTGCACCGCGCAGCCAAAGCGGGGCGCCTGGAGGTGTGCCTGGCGCTGCTGGAGGCGCTCTCCGACTGCCAGCCGGCTGGCGGAACTGGAGATGTCAAACGAACGGGGCACCTTATCAAGGGATCATGCTACCAAGCTGGTCCTCTTTTGCACGAGAACCCGCATTAAACCAACCAATCACCTGATAATATGAGTATAGTCGGTTGAATCGATGGAGTCGGGAGGACCCAAATTCCCGAGAAAGCAAATTCCCCCCAATTCGTCGCTGTCATCTTGAGGAACAAAGACATTGTCCCATGGTCCAGACGCTGGATGTAATCATTGCTTTTGAACTCACAGTCGCCAAGTGGCTACTAAAGTCAGCCATATTTCTTCGGGCTCAGCATCGAGTTTGCGTAAAGGTCTCCTGATCTCGAGGGAGTGGACTTGGCATTGAGCCTATCTCAGGTCGATCTTTTCCCGGGCACTTGCGGGGCAAGCGGATGGGCTCGCGTGATGGGCTCGCGTGCCAGGCACGGGCATTTGTCAATGCCAAGGACTGCGTCGCTGTGGCATTGAAATCTGGGAGTGCCCTCTTAGCTCGTGCGAAAGGCTTGACCTCAGGATAGTCAGTCAGAGGCCGCAAGGAGAAGGGGGGTAGAGCCACCTATCCAATGCCCCAGGCTCAAAAAGAGGCCAGAAGCCATCTTCAGCAACGAATTCGAAGTTAAATGGAGATTCATTGAGTCAGAGGAAGAAGCGAGAAAGATACGGACCTACGTACTCATCTCCGAATTTATCTTGGACAAACATGTTTCTCACCGCTGTGTCACGGGTGAATGTGACTTTTTAAAAAGCTTCTGGAAAATGATCTTGTGGTCATTGCGAAGGTTTGGTACCATTGGACTCTGTGGACCACATAGGATCTCCTTCAAGGGAGTATCCATCGTTGGCGCAGGACATGCACGGGTGCACGTGCTTGCACTACGCAGCCAAAGAAGGCAGACATGAGAGGGGTCTTGCGTGGCGGCTGATATGAAATGAGATCAAGCACTATCAAGCAAATTTTGGGCTTGAGCACGGTTAGGGGCTTTCTGGTTATGCTTGATGTGTTTCCCTTTCGCAGAAGTGTCAGGCCGGATTTTTCAGAAAGCAAACGGTATGGCTATGTCGCATGTGCATGTCATTCTGTATATTAAAATTTCGTTGGCGACGCTCGAGTTTGCTTGATACGCAAGTGCATGAAGTAGAGTGTCCAGTGTCGTCTAGGTGTTCAGATGTCCAACGACGATTGGTTTTGTACCGATTCTGCGTGTCAAAAGACCCATCCATTGTTAGGACAATACTGACATTGGCTTATTTGCGAAGATGATTTGAATTTGCTCAGCGCGTGACTTGTACCAGCAAGGAGGTGCAAAGCGCTGCGTGCATGGTGTTGGCACGTGAGTATCCCGGTCAGTTCGGTGGGTCGCCCGGTCCGTCAGTCCGTCAGTCCGTCAGTCCGTCGGGGCTGTTGGGGCTGGTCCGGCTGGTCAGGCTGTCAGTCAGCCAGTGGACCGTCGGGTCCGCGGGTCACGCACCCAAATCCCGCCTTAAATCCACCCTAATCCACCTAGAACTTTCCTAAACCCACACAGTTCCTGTGGGTTGTTCCTGTGCGAACCAGTATCCTGCCACACTAGGGCCACGCAGCAGTGCAATCGCACATGGCAATCGCGGAAGGCTCTCCCGAGTGTCAACACCCGTTGAGCTGAATCTCCTTTTGCTTTGGCTCTTTGTTTGCACATGGATTTTCCGCCGCTGGGCTGCGCAGAAACGCATAAACAACCATGTGTTTTTGGAAGCCATTTCAATCCCATCGACGAAACTGCAGGGGTTCCTATAGGCGCAGGATCTTATTTTTCCCCTCTTTATGAATGAGAAGTGAGAACCTTCTCAGCTTTCAGCTGACCTGTAGGAGCCATTGAAACCTTCGGCATGAGCGCTGCAGGCCACTCGGCAGTCTGCGCAGCGCTCCTGGCGCAGGCAGACGTCCAAGTGGTGGGGGAGCTCAGCTGAGCATCTGACGGTTGCACCCGCTAACGTCAAGCCTGACAGTGGGCGTGTTTGGAACAGGAACGCGGATGCTGAGATGGCGGGCCTGCTGTTATCATCCGCATTCCGCCATTGCCCAGATTTTGTGCTGGTCGGTGTGAGTGTAGTCGGATAGACCGGAAGACCGGATGTTTGAGTTTGATATGTATTTTAGTGTGCAAGTTGTGCCATGGAGTCTTGCAGTTTTCTTGATGATAGCGTCATTCTAAGTAAAGGTTTTTATGAGAACGTCCTTTCTGCTACCTTATTATGTGTATCATCGGAATCATATGTTTGTTGCGGGTGACAGAAAAGAAGTGGCACGCATTTTCACTAGCAGGCAAACACCGCAATATACGTTGAATACAGGCAACATGCAAGCATGCTTTAACACATGAAGAATCCAAGAAGGCATTTGCAGCCTCTCATCAGGGAATGGGAAGCAATTGGCAGTTGGCAAAACGGGCAACAACAAGCTTCTACCTTCCTGGCGTGCACCGAGAATCCAGTGTCAAGTATGCTGGGCACATTCGATTCAGTGCTCATGCTTGGCTGATCGACCTTACTGCCTGCCGCTTGCATCAAGCATCAAACGCCGTGTTGTCGTCATAAGACGTGCTTTGTCGGCGATGGCTCGCGATCCCAGCTTGGTTCTCGCGGTTGAGGAGGTCAGCTCCCACTACGTCTTTCAAACTCTTGCCAGCCGGTGCAACATTGAGGCGCTGAACTGCTCCAGCGCCTGGCCCAGACAGCATGTTTTGCCTGCCTTGTTTTTCAGACGCCAATCGTCCAGCGGCACCCCGTTTTTTCCCCAACAGCTGAAAGCTTTGGGGCTCAACTCAGATAGGCTCCGGGGTGGTACGGGGCAGCCCTGAGGTAAGCTTCCACGAGGGTTCCACCAAGGGCATGCTGTTGGGGATATCACCTGAGCTTTTTTTTTAATGGGTCGAGGTTCCCGTTTTGGCAAAGAAATGCCCATGAGCTTCGCGCTTGAAAAACCAAGCACGTGAGGCTTGTCCGAGCTGATGAGCTTCTCCGCCAAAGATCCCGTGATGGTCATCACCGACAACATCGACTGGTTGCAAAAGCTGAAAGGCACCTCTGGGACCCAGAATCTTGGCCATTCATGTCCGACTTTGTACAAGGTCTATGTCTTTTCCACTTGGCCCGCTCGAAAGCGAGTGGCCTTTGTGTTGTCAAAAATTTGGGAGCCATAGTCGTTGTGCATCCGAAAGGGGATTTATGCATTGCTTGGCTGATAATCCCCGCACACAACCCCTCCCACCAACAAGCAAGTAAGGGGATTCTGATTTGAAGGTCGAGGTTGCATCCCAAGAAGATTGAGCTGAGCAACAATGGGCAAGCGGGGGTCAACCAGTTGAACCGCATCATTTATAGAAGGGCCCAACATTTTGACCCAAGTAGGCGCCCAAACCCCTATGGCAATTTCGGTTGCGAGTTTCCGTACCTGGCTTCTTTGGGACCAATCTTGCATATAGACCTTTGTGACCATCTTGGTAGTTTAGGGTGGATTGACCCATGGGGTAAGGGTTCATCAGCGAGGTTCATGCAGGTTACATGGTGTTGAAGGGTTGCTCAAAATCGGGGGACCCCCAAACAGGGATGGTGTTGGTTTCCTTCTAAAGCACCCCCCCAAAAAGGTACCTTCACAGGGTTGACACACCCACGTAATACCGCAAGCGCCTCGCTTGCCGAGCTGAGCCGAGGGGGATCTTTCTGATCGACGCTACTTGCTCGGGCTGGGACTGGGGGTGCCAGCATGAGCTGCTGCCCTCCTGCTCCCTGGAGGACTTTGAGCAGAGCCCCGGAGTGAAGTCCAGCTTTTTTTTGTTCCTCCTTTTTTGTTTTTCTTCTTCTTCTCACCCTTTTTGGTGAGTTCGGTGGGAAGCTTCCGCTTTCTTTCTTTTTTTGGGTGTTCCCTTGGGGAATTGCGTGGAAAGAAGCACCAAAACCATCATCATTTGGTACTGCAGGGGTCCAATCATTTTGAACAACGTTTAGTTGACATCCTTGTGTCCCTTCTTTCTCTCTTGTTGTTCTCTAGTGCTACCATTCGACCCGATCACAGGCGATCCAAATTTGGCCCCTAAAAATAACAGCGCACGGGCCCGATCATGGTGTCCTTTTAGGAAGCTCGATAGCCCTGGTAGATTGTGAAACCACCAGGTTGACCAGGGCCATCTTTTTTTCTTCGCCAAAACAACAAACAAGGACACCTACAGACCCAATGATTGCCAATGTTCTACCCTTTCTATCATGGTACCAAAAAAATGTAGTGGCTGCTTTTGTGGCAGTAAATCCAAGAAAGAAGGAGGGGTTGTGGTTTGGGCACGTGTCAGGAAACCGCAAGTTCCTGCTCGGGGCATGTGAAAAGGCCAATCTTTCCATTCTCATAGACAGGTTGCGCAGCCTCTAAAACACGATCACAGCACCGGGGCCCAAGCAGGTTTCCACTACCGCTTCTTTCTCTCTTGTTGTCCCTTCTTTCTCTCTTTTTGTTTGGATATGTTCTTCTTGGAAGGATCACACATTGCACGCTCGTGGCCATTGTTGTCAGAGTTGTCCGACCTAAACGGCACAATGTTTAATTGGCAAATGTGGGGCCCCTGCTTTTTAAAGATATTGTTGAACAACAACCAAGAAACACGCGGGGGAGGTGTTCCTTTTTGTTTGGGTGCCTCCCTCAAACATCCACTGCCATAGCAAGTGGGGTAGTTTATACCGTGTTTCTTTTCCTGGATTCTTCAACAGTCCTGCATCCATCAGATGGTAGTGCATTTGTCCACATTATGAGTTAACAGATTGGGACTCCCCGCATCTTGACTCCAGTTGGGTGTGTCTCGCTTTATATAGGGGGGCGCACAAATGTCTATTTTCCTTTTGGGTGTCCTGTAAAACTTAACTCCCCCCCAAACACAAAGAGCAACCATCGTCTCCACACGGACCCCCCAAAGCAGTGGTTTCGTTGGTTTCCGTTTGCCACGAAAGGGAACCTTCCAAAAAGACGCCCAGTTTGACCCCAACACACGCCCAAAGGAGCTTGAGGCATGGTGCCCGCTGGTTGGAACAGCAGGCTTGAGCCGCCCGCCAGCGAGGCGGCCAAGTTGAAAAGCGGCCAAGTTTCGAAACCAATCAGACAAAGGCAAAGTATAGGTCCGTGTTTTTTGCGGGTACGGTGAGTGTACCCCTTTTTGGTGGTTTTCCTCTTAGTTTTCCTTTAAATCCGTACAAGAAGGGTACCCTCAAAAAAGACACTCATATGGCTTTGTCTCAAAAGGAGACCGGGCAGCAGTTTTTGGGAGGCCTCTAAAACAAGATGCACCCGTAATTACTTCAACTGTGCAAAGGCAATCCTGAATCCTTACCAAGGGTTACAAGGATTGGCCAGCCTTCTGTTTCGAACAGCCCAGACGGGTGTGTCTCTAAGAGAACCCTCAAAATGGGCATTTTGCCTTTGGTTTTCCTTCCAACAAAACCCCAAACAGGATCCCTGGAAAAAAGGACACCCGTTTATACATTGGTTATCAACAGCTGTTTCTTCCACCAATTTTTTAGCCTAGTGATCCTGAGTTGAGAAGAGGCTTCCCTTTGGCATGGACAAAAACAGATGTGTGATTACATAGGCGGAAACATGTACCACGTTCAAAGCTACTTACTTGTGGTTCACCGGGACAGTCCGACAAGCAACATCGTTTGACGGATTGAGCATTTGTCAGGGATTTTCCAATTTCTAGATATATAGATATATACATATATATATATATATATATGAATACCTTAATATCCTGTGAAGTTGTGACTGGACCAGGGCCATCCAACCCCGGAGGTATCGCTCAGCTTGCCTGAGTCCTGAGATTCCCTTGCCATGCACAGGGGCGAGGGGCTTGGGGTATCATGGAGCCTTGGTGGAGTTTGTGGAGCGACGGCCTTTGCAGAGGCCCATCCCCGAATGATTTGCAAAGTCCCCTTAGATTTTCGTGGAACAGCACGATAACATGCTTTTAGCTGCATCGACATTCGATGCTGCCGGGTTTCAATTCGGGCGACCCGCGGGCTTTGCTGTTTGTTTTGCGGCCTACCCGACATGGAAGTGCAAGGGGTTTTAATCTCTTGAGGTAATGCATGGCGGCACCGCAGCAAGCCCTGTGAACAAGCACAGCCGGCGTGCCAACTTCAGCGCCGCATTGCAAAAGCCAAGCAAGCTGGGCGTGCAGCTGAGCGCCAGTAGGCGTCTTCTACCTGCAAGCAGCTTGCGTCTCAGGCACGCAAATGTAGTCTGCAAAGTCATATGGCTATTAGTTTAAACGGGGCTCTTACAAAAAGGGTGGGTGTGCTGAATCCCCATGAACATTTCTTTCATCAAGGGCTGCCCAATTGCAAATCAGACCCACGTATCATGTGAGTGTGCAGAGTCATATGAGTCATATGTTTGAATGCGACGCGCTATAGCTGGCACGCTGTGCAGCCGGGCGCCAGTAGGTGTCTGCTATCTGACTTGCGAATATGCTACGCCTCAGATTCACCATTCGTCGTGATTTCCCTCAAAATTTACAAGCACACCTGCCTCAACCCATCTTGAATGACAGGGTGTTTCCTGTTCTTTGCTTGCAATATTGAGGGAGGTCGACGGACATGTCCAACTTTCTGAGAGGCTTTCCCACGTCAGAGACAATTGCCGAGCAGATGCATTGTATGTTCATTCTATTTTTTTAGGGCGGTTCCCCACCTCCTTACCGGCAGATGCTTCGGCTGGGAACGCTCGATTCTCTCGCCTGCCAAGCAGGCCCAATACATATGAGCAACGGCCTATATTTGCAGAAGACTACAGTAAAGGCCGAGAGGAACACTATTGTTACCTCACGCACAAACACATGCGGTTGGAAAACGAGGTCAATGAGGATAAACAGGCGCGGGGTCGGAGAACGAGGTGGGAACACCTGACCATTGAATCATGTAGCAAAATCGGCTGTAGCTCATATACCCTCCGGTGCCACGTTCCGGCCGTCGAACATGCACTGTGAATGGCTGCCTTGAGCAGTTGTTGCCAGTTCCAGGCTAGGTACAATGTAGATTCGGTCGGTGATCATTCCAATTCTCTCAGAAATGACATGTTGGGGAATATCCGTTTTTTGGGGGTTGGGCTTCAGCTCTTGACTCGTTGACAACCCCAAAACTAGCCATTGAACGACCGCCTGGGCTGATATTCTATGGGCGGCCGACTGAGTTGCTCCAGGAGGCAGGGCCTTTTGATTTGCGAGTTTTGAGTTGGCCATGTTGAGTCATGGCACAGGTTCAGCTTTCATTTCCAGGTCCTTCGAGTGAGCCAAGAGGTTTCAGCTCACGCGGATCCAGCGAGAAGTCAGCGACCTGCTGTCTTTTCAGTTCACGAGGTGAAAATTGGAGCGTCGCAGTCGCATTGCCGCAGATGTGACTTGTGACTCAGCGCCATAGAGTGAGTGGCTTCGGCTTTCTCGATTCCTGTAGAGTGCCTTTTTGTTTTGGCGCCCCCCAAACGCATTTTTGGAGACACACCCGTATTGGCTTTCCACATGTCTGTGGCTTTGACCGCAGCTAAGTTTGGGTTGCTTATTTGTTGGGTGGTCAAACCAGAGGCCCGTTTTGGGTTTCGGTGACATGTCGTGCCGCCATTTTTCAGGGGAGTCCAAAGGCAACTATTGTTCATTGTTCATACTGGGCATTTGTGACAAGGTGTCCGTTTTGCAATTGTTGAAGAACATCGAGAAAGGAAACCATGTGAGCAAAAACCAACATTGCAATTGGAGGTTGGTGGGGGACGTTCACAAGCCTAAAGGTATGGCTGCCTTTGGAGACCATCGCATGGTTTCCGGAAAACGTCTACTCACCGGGGGCGTCGTTATTGGTAGATGCGCTCCGGTTTCCGGCTTTCGCATGGCTGAGACAGCTGCCGACTCCCTGGGCTGCAGTGCGCTGCACAGTGCGGCAGCGGCAGGCGGGCTTTTTGCACCTGCTGCGGAAAGGGAATTCCAGAGAATAATGGAGAGGGAATTCCAATGTGGTGGTGTTTTTTTTGTTTGTGTTTTTCCCCACCCGACAGGACGGGGTTGTTAGATTTTATGTTAGAATCCACGTTTGCGATGCTTCTACACCACGCCCCCACCCAGTATCCCGCCAGAGCAGCTCGCCAGCGGATCCCGCCAAGTATGAGCAGCTCGCCAGTGGATCCCGCCGAGTATCCCGCCAGAGCTGCTCGCCAGTGGATCCCGCCCAGTATCCCGCCAGAGCTGCTCGCCAGTCGATCCCGCCGAGTATCCCGCCTGTGCGGCTCGCCAGTGGATCCCGCCAGTATCCCGCCAGAGCAGCTCGCGTCCAAAAAAAGGCTGATGGTGGAGGGTGGGGATTGCTCGAAGCGAAGTACTTTGTGGAGTTTTCCCGAAAGCATCGCGAAGGGTTCTTCCGTGCAGAGCCTTGGACAAGTTACATAGAGCCAAGTTGCACAGAGCCAAGTTACATAGAGTCAAGTTGCACAGAGCCAAGTTGCACAGAGCCAAGTAGCAAAGAGCCAAGTTACATAGAGCCAAGTTGCAGAGAGCCAAGTTGCACTTGCGCAGAGCCAAGTGGCACAGAGCCAAGTTGCACAGAGCCAAGTGGCACAGAGCCAGTTGCATTGCGTTGCGCAGAGCCAAGTTGCACAGAGCCAAGTTGCGCAGAGCCAAGTTGCACAGAGCCAAGTGGCACAGAGCCAAGTGGCGCAGAGGCGGCGCAGAGCCAAGCGGCACAGGTGGCGCAGAGCCAAGCGGCACAGAGCCAAGTGGCGCAGAGCCAGTGGCACAGAGCCAAGTGGCACAGAGCCAGTTGCATTGCGTTGCGCAGAGCCAAGTTGCACAGAGCCAAGTTGCGCAGAGCCAAGTTGCACAGAGCCAAGTGGCACAGAGCCAAGTGGCGCAGAGGCGGCGCAGAGCCAAGCGGCACAGGTGGCGCAGAGCCAAGCGGCACAGAGCCAAGTGGCGCAGAGCCAGTGGCACAGAGCCAAGTGGCACAGAGCCAGTTGCATCGCGTTGCGCAGAGCCAAGTTGCACAGAGCCAAGTTGCGCAGAGCCAAGTTGCACAGAGCCAAGTGGCACAGAGCCAAGTGGCGCAGAGGCGGCGCAGAGCCAAGCGGCACAGGTGGCGCAGAGCCAAGCGGCACAGAGCCAAGTGGCGCAGAGCCAGTGGCACAGAGCCAAGTGGCACAGAGCCAAGTCAAGTGGCACAGAGCCAAGTCAAGTGGCACAGCGCCAAGTGGCACAGAGCCAAGGTTCCAACTTAGCGTGCCCGTTAACATGTATACATTTGCTGGCCTCATTAGAACCTGTTTCCAACTTAGTCTACTATTTGCGGCATTGACTCCACTGATGGTTCTGCCGGATGTGGGCCCGTAAATGCAGTTGCTTGAGCCTGTTTCCAACTTAAGGTGAACCTTGCGGCATTGATTGATGCTTCGCCTCTAATGTGTACACTTGCTTGAACTTGTTTTCCACTTAGTGTGAATTTGCGGCATTAACTTCAGCTATTAATGTTCTTTTGCGGCATTGGTGCTTCGGCGTAAGCAGCTATGTAAGTTAGTTTAGGTTTCTAAGGCGCCGGGGTGGGAGTTTGATCATCGCTCGGGATTGCGACCCTCTGCGGAGATCCGTGTGGTCGAGGTTAAAAAACTGAGGGCTTTTTACGATTTCTGCGGCGCCCGCGCGATTCTCTGCGGAGATCCGCGTGGTCGAGGTTAAAAAAACAGAGGACTTCTTACGATTTCTGCGGTGCCCGCGCGATTCTCTGCAGAGATCCGCGTGGTCGAGGTTAAAAAACAGGACTTTTACGATTTCTGCGGTGCCCGCGCGATTCTCTGCAGAAATCCGCGTGGTCGAGGTTGAACAACAGGGGACTTTCTACGATTCTGCGGTGCCCGCGCGACCCTTTGCGGAGTTCGCCAAGACGACGAATTCGCACGGCGCCGCAGCGAGCGCGTCGACACGCACGATCTCCGCAGACAGTCGCGCGCGCGCGCCGAAAGAGTCGAAAAAAGTTCACAGTTCTTTGACATCGACCGCGCGGATCTCCGCAGAAGGTCACGCGACGCAAGAATCGTAAAAAGTCCTCAGTTGTTTAACCTCGACCACGCGGACCCCTCTGCGGGCGGAGATCGTGCGTGTCAAAGCGCTCTCGCTCTGGCGCCGTGCGATTTCCTTGCTTGCGAAATGGTCTTTGGATGTTGTCTCGTAGCTTGCGCGCCTGCTTTCGCAATTCCGCGGTCGCGGGTTCGATTCGCCCCTGGTCCAATCGCAACTTCTCAGTATGAAGGTAGTAAGGCGAAGTACACTTTCGCGGCTCCGGCTGGAACAAGTACGAAAGTAGTACGGGAAGTAAACTTTCGCTGCTCCGGCGCAACTTTTGAGCACGAAGTACACTTTCGCGGCTCCGGCTGGAAAATCGCAACTTTTACGTACGAAAGTAGCACGCAAAGTACACTTGCGCAGCTCCGGCTGGAAAATTGCAACTTTGAAGTTCGAAAGCATTTCGCGACGTAAACTGTTGCAGCTCCGGCCGGAAAATCGCAACTTCTAAGTACGACAGTAGTACGCGAAGTAAACTTTCGACGCTCCGGCTGGAATATCGCAACTTTTGAGTACCAAAGTAGCGTGCGAAGTAAACTTCCGCAGCTCCGGCTGGAAAATCGCAACTTTTAAGTACGAAAGTGTTTCGCGAATAGAGGAAACTTGTTCAGAGCAACTTGCTGAGAGAACTTGCTGAGAGAACTTGCTTGGAGGAAATCGCGACAACTTGCCCAGAGCAACTTGCACAGAGAACTTGCTTGGAGAACTTGCTCAGAGCAACTCGCGCCAACAACTTGCTCAGAGCAACTTGCACAGAGAACTTGCTTGGAGAACTTGCTCAGAGGAACTCGCGCCAACAACTTTGCTCAGATGCGCAACTGCACGGAGAACTTGCTGGGATTGCAAGGAGAACCTGCCGCCGCTGCCAATGCTTTCGGGCCACCCGCCTTGTAGATTTTCCTTTTTTCTGGACACCAACCGGAAACTAACCCTGGGAGTCCTCTTTTGCGGCAAGCCCGTGTATCGGATTCCAAACACGGCCCACTTTAGGAAAGGATCCCTGCCTATGAAGGTTAGTTGTTCGTGACAGCTGCCCGGGCAGACCATGGCTGAACGCTGAATTGACCCAGTTGGGCACCCCCCTCCCATTCTAGCCCTGCGACGGCACACAGGCGCACACTAGACAACCCAATGGTGATGGAGAAGGTAAACGCCAACTGGGATCAGACTTGCTGACACATTGCCCTTCACCCTTTCCAGTGACCGCATTGAAGAGTTTGTCCTGTGGCCAGTGGCATACATTCGAGACACGTGTTTTGTTGTTCTGGCACCGAACAACAGACAACCGCGAAACCGACCTCGCATAAGCACCAAAGGTGCAAAGGTGCGGAACCTTTTCATGTGAAGCAACCGACTGAAGACGTTTCGTTTCCATGCTCTTATTGACATCTCTCGCTTGGACATCAGAGCAACTCTTGGGCCGCAAAGTACCCAAATCCCCCCTGTCCAGTCCTTCTCCAAGTTCTTCCAAGCCTCTTCCCTCTGAAGTGACTGCTCCCAAGTAGAAGCCTAGGCCATGGAGAAGTGTGTCAGCTGCTCTTGCAGCATAGCGTGGAGAAGGCGCCCAAGGGCGCTTTCCACGCGCTGGTCCAGCAGCTCGTCTAAGTTGTCAGGCTGTCTTTTTTGGTGAGGGATCAGCGAGACATTGAGTTGAGTGCGCTATAGTTCTAAGCCAAACACACAGGATCTCACCCACCAGTTTGAGCGGCGCCATGGGCAAAACGCTCTTTTATGTGGGGTTGGTAGGGATCGAACTAGTTTGTCAGACAACCTGAAGGAACCTTGAGAGCCATCATTGACAAACTCTTCATTGCTTTGCATCTCCACATTGATAGCTGTGACCGCTCTCAGGCAGACAAACATCTGGGGGCAAACGCCCTTTGATGTCTCTACGGGATCAGCTCGCTACGCTCTTCTGAGCAAAGGTCTCGGAAGAGGTCTGTTCGCAGCACAAAAGGTGGATGCGGGTTGCATGATTTGGCGGCCTTGATAGTTAACCAGCCATTCGTTTGCGCTTAGACAGGTTCACCAATCAGTACAGACTCAACCAATCAATACAACCCAACGGCGACCAGCCATTGTGGTTGCACTGTTGTCATGCCAGAGTTGGTGGGAAATGTGGGTGCTTGACAAACTGCATGTGGGAAGTTGTCTCCACACCGAATCTGGACCCGGGTGTCTTCTTTTAGGGTACCCCTTTTTTGTGGTGTTGCCCTTCACCAAGAGGAAAACCATCATTTTAGGGGCGCCCTGAAAAAGACACCCCCAAAGCAACGAGCAGGTTGTTTGGTTGTGACTTTGCGACCCAAATCGTGCACTTTTGCCGCGGCTCTGCGGCTCAAGTGAAAGCCTGTTAGGGGGGATCCGGGAGGCCGGGGGGGGGGGGGGTGACATGTGCATAGTACATGTGAATAGAACAAATATGTCCGAGAACCCATCTACCTTTTTGTAGTGTTTTCAGCAGGAAAGATGCCAGCAGATGCGCTCAGCTATACGGCGCCTTATGCAGATGACATTCATTTGGTGCTTGGGCAGCGCCTTGTCTCAGCCATGGACAATCTTAGCCATGTGCCATGACGTGAGGGCTCCTGCGCATGCCCACATGTCTTGCCCCCTGTGCCAGTACTCATACTTGCCGGTCTTGGTGTGATGGTTGCAGCGGGCACGATCTTTGATGAAGCGCCGTGCTCTGTCGATCACCTGCGTGCCACTCTTGACAGTGGTCTTCTTCCCACCTGGCAAGGTATGCTTCTTGAGCTGCACGAAGACAGGGTTCTTCCACGTCCACCTGCCCTTGACCTTGACATGCTTCTTTTGGTGAATCACGGAGTCGTGAAGGAAATCAGGAACCTTTGCCTTGTAGGAACGGACTGTCAGTGTGGGGATGACGTTCTTCCATTCAACTCGGCCCAGGCCCAGGTGCACGGGCTGCTGGCTGGTGTCGGACCAGAACCAAGGACTTGGGCTTCCCGCGCTTCACGATCCCAGCCCACTACTCCCACTCCATGAACTTGTTGTCATCTGCCCCTGATGGAGAGAAGCTCTTGTCAAACGTGGCTTCGTTGGCTTCAACATCTTGCCGCTTTGCACCTTGACCGAAGGATATGGTCTTCTCCTTGTCCTTGTCCTCCACGAAGCCCTTCCTGACGAAGAGGAGCGCCCGCCGCGAACGCTCGAGGGCGTTGTGAGGTGCGTGGAGCTTAGACTCGCGTGGGCTCTTGCCCGCGCCTGCTTCACCAAGCATCAGAAAGGCAGACTGGTCAAAGTTCCAGATCCAACAACCTCGAGGATCCATGATGCGGAAGTCACAGGAAAAGGCGCGCAAGCGATCCATCAGAAGCAAGGTTCTTCAACACACGGTCCACCAACCCAGCGGGCCACAGACGGGTCCTGGATCGCGAAGCTGCTGGTTTCATGATGTAGTCAAACCCCGCATCGATCTCCTCAGCAGAGAGTGAACTGCCTACCTCTTATCTGGGAAGCAGTGTCGAAGAATTTTGCGGCCAACTCTTGCAAACCAAGCACCGCTCATCCACAGAGGGCGGAAGCATTTGCCATAGCCCGTCTTCTCAAACTCGGAGGGCTTGATCTTCCGCGTCTTGCCCTGCGTGATCACCATCTGCAGGAGGGCGTCGTCACCTACCTTCTCCTTCAAGCCAAAAGGGGGGGTCATCGGTCTTGTCCACGGCCGTCTTGTAGGCGTGGGACAACTCTGCAATGTTGATATCCTCTTTGCTCCACCAGATCGAAGAAGTGCGAGGCTGCATTGTCAGCGGGCTTCATCTCTGTCATGGGGAAAGTTGCAACACTGAAGTTGCCAGGCGGGAGGTTGGCAGAGACAAAGGGGTCGGTATTGCGACAGATGTAGCCCTTGCAGACTTCCTTGAGCCGATCGAAGGTGAGATCTTCGCCAGCCATTGGTGCGGGAGGAGATTTGCCACAGTAGCGCGCTAGAACACCTCATGCAGAGCAGGCTGTGTTGGGCCAGATGTACAAAGGCCAAAAACCAGGTTCAACCTCGAGAAAACCAGAAAAAACAGGAAAACCAGACAAGGTCTGGAGACTATTGAGCTGGATATGTCCTATAGTCTGTGGGTCTTCTGGTTTTTCTGGTCTTTCTGGTTTTCTCAAGGTTTTTTCTGGCTTTTGCTGAGTGAAGCAGGATATGCCCCATAGTCTCACTCTGGTTTTTCTCGTTCGTGCTTCGTGAAGCAGATGGGTTTGGTCATGTTATGGCACCCAAGGCCCAAAAACACCACAAAAAGGTCGATCTTTGGGGGATTTATGTATATTATGGTTATATGTATGCATATGTATGTAAAAGTATATGTACGTTGACATGCACATGTAGATGTGCAGGTGTGTATATATATATACATGTACATATGTATGTGTACATATGAACACACATGCTACTTGATGGCCCACGCAGATTTTGTCAGATTGGTCTACATTTTGAGGGGACCCCTTTGCATGCGCACAGCGTTTGTGATACGTGAGTGTTGCGCTGCCTTGACTGGTGCAAGTGCACTAGACCAAAGGAAGTCGATCGACTGTTTCAAAAGGACGCTGTAAAAACACAATGCAGCTGCCATGCAGTTTGGAAGAGCTTCTTTCGTTTTGCACAGGCAAAGCGGGAATGGGCAAGGCCTCCACTTGCGTTTTTCTCTCCAGCCACCTTGCCCGCAGCATTCTGCTGAGGAAAACACGCACATTATTGGACGCTGACGCTGCCACTTGTTTGCCCAAGCCCGTCGTTGGAATTGCATTCCTTGTGCGTAAACGATCTGAAGGGGCAAAGTTCCGCGGAGCCGTTGGCCCTTTCATCCAAAACCACAAGGAAACCACCCACTTGCGAAGAAAAACAGGGATAGCTTTTGTGAGACTGCACTTTGAGGGGGCACGCTTATTTTCTTAAGGGGCTTGTCTTTTGAGATTCAGCCAATGGATTTTCCCGTTGGCTCGCCTCAGGCGACCCCGGGACCCTGGTGGCGCTTGAGCCATGTCGGCGTACGAGGAGCGCAAGGGAAAGCCTGCAGGTGCCAGTTTAGTGGGCAGGGTCCAAACGTCAAGCCAGGCTTCCGCATGTTTGTGCCCGGGCATGTCGGATGGAGCAAGCGTCATTCAGTAGATCTAGATGCCACTGCCAAATGGGTTCTTAGGACGAGTCTTACCGCGAAGTAGACGGCCTACATGTGAGTATTTTGCCTTTGCGCGTGCAGTATTTTCTTCCGGGTGCCTCCCCAGCGAACTCGCGCCCAGGTAACCCTGAACAACCTTCCAGCCTTGGTAAACAAGGCATCACGGCACATAGTGGACGCCCCGCTAGGTGCAATGTTGGCTTTACATTGCTGTGCAATGGTACCCGTATGTATGAGCAAATTTGAGATCGACAACTCGTGGCAGGGGAAGGCCTACGTGTAGTTACAGTTTCAATCGCTTTGCCCAAGAGGTGCGACATTTTTTGGGCAGCGATCCTGAGAGAGATACAGGGCATATCTGCTGCCAATAGAAGGATCCTCACAGCTGGTAGTTAGCGATGCCGATGACGACGACAATGATGATAACCTCCATGATGACTATGATGACGATGATGATGATGATGATGATGATGATGCTGATGATGATGATGATGGGCATCATGATGATGATGACGATGGCGATGGCCATGGCGATGACGATGACAACAATGATGATGACGATGACGGCGACCATGACCGTGGCGTTGGTGATGACAGCAGCGGCGATCGTGGTTGTGAGAATAGGCAAGCTGTAAACTCAACGGCAGCTGGCCTTTAGGCGCCATCTCATGAACTCGATTCACATTGGGCCGTAGGTTCTGGATCTTTGGATCAGGGTGACTTCTTGATGAGTCCTGCCTTTGGGCCCTAAGTTGGGGCGCAGTATTTTTTGGTCCAAGTTTAAGAGGCGTTTCAGTCCTAGTTCTGTCGTTCCACGCCGGTCCTGGAAACAGACGCAGCCGCTGGCTCATGAGGTTGAGTTGAGTTGAGTCGAGACGAGTTGAGTTCATTTGAGTGGAAATTATTCGGACAGGTTTTGTAGCTCCGACCAAAATGGGCGAAATCTACGACCAACATGATGCAGCCACTACGACCAAAATGAGCGCGGGCGGGCTTAAAACGTCCAACATGGCCCCAAAACTGAAACAACTCAGAAACTACGACCAAAATGAGAGGGCTACCCCTAAATTGGGTTCGCTTTTTGGATGTGATGATCCGCGTACCTTTCTTACGATTTCTTGGCCTTGGTACCTGGATCCAAGATTGCTGCCCTCGGTCTTTATATGTTGTGCGCCTCCATAAAGAACACGCCAGGCTGCCTTTTGCCTTTTCGGACGTGCAAGCGCAAGGTACAATTGGCTTCTTGCCTTCAAGCATCAGGGGCGAGCATTGTCACTCCATTGCGCCCTGTTCCACTTCCGTCACCACTCATCAGTCTCGCCCACTTGTTTCACCATTCTGGATAAGTTTTTAGCCGTGCGCAAATGATCACCGCCTTTGCGGCTGCCCCACCATCATCGTCACCATCTTGCTTCTCGCGATCGCAGGACCTCCAGCCATGCCTGGAGTATGGCAAGAAAGCCTATGAGACCATCCTGCTGGGGTCCCAAGCAGCACAACCCCACGTGCGGAACCTTTAAGGAGGCTCATGGCTATGCCACTTTCAAGGGGCTTTCCTTGTATCACGGAAAGCGACCACAAGACGTCCCTGGTCAGCAAGCATGCTCTGACTTGAAAGGAGCGGCGATTTGTTGAACACAGTTGAGTGGTTGCGCAATTCGATAAGCTCAGCGCCACGCAGTTGTTAAGACTTGTGTGAATGCAAGTCACGCAGAAGCCAGGCCAGGCGCATGCATGTTTGTGCAGACAGCACGCATCAAACGAACAACTCTACCTATTGTTCATGCACACTTGAGGTGGATGAGTTTCATCACAATCTTGCCGGCACCCTCTCAAAAGCTTATCGGAAGCAAGCAGTCTAGTCTATGGGCCAATCAGTGAATCAGGGCTCAACGCGGACTCCTCTTTTGGGAGACAAGGGGGAGGTCTTGCTGCTTATTGTATCTGCGTCAGGTCTTGGAAGGCTAGGGTTTGCAGGTTTCATTCTTCAAGGATTGAATTGGATCATTCGGGGGCCTTTTGGCTCAAGGATGATCCCTTTTTCCCGAAAGCATCGCGAAGGGTTCCTCCGCGCGGAGCTCTCGGACCAACTTGCATAGAGTCACTTGCGCAGAGTCAAATACACAGAGCCAAGTGCATGGAGCCAAGTGCATAGAGCCGTGCATAGAGCCAAGTGCATAGAGCCAAGTGCATAGAGCCAAGTGCAAACAGAGCCAAGTGCATAGAGCCGAGTGCACAGAGCCGAGTGCATAGAGCCGGAGTGCATAGAGCCAAGTCCACGTGCATAGAGCCGTGCGTAGAGCCAAGTGCATAGAGCCAAGTGCATAGAGCCAAGTGCATAGAGCCAAGTGCATAGAGCCAAGTGCATAGAGCAGGTGCGCAGAGCCGAGTGCATATAGCCGACTGCATAGAGCCAAGTGCGTAGAGCCAAGTGCATAGAGCCAAGTGCATAGAGCCAAGTGCATAGAGCCAAGCGCCGCTTCGGCGGTAGCAGCTATGTAAGTTGAGTTTAGCTTTCTAGGTCGAGGTTTTTGCGATTTCTGATCTGCCCGCACGACCCTCTGCGCGGTCTGCAAAAACTCGAGGTTTTTTGATCTGCCCGTGCGACCCTCCTTGCGGGGATCGGGTGAAGGTACAAGCTCGAGTTTTTTTGCGATTTCTGTCTGCCCGCGCAACCCTCTGCGGGGATCAGCGTGGTCGAGGTGCAAAAGCTCGAGCGAGGTACAAAAACTCGAGGTGTTTTGCGTTTTTGCGGCGCGCGGCGGATGAACAATCTGCGGGGATCGGCGTGGTCGAGGTGCAAAAACTCGAGTTTTTTTTGCGATTCTTGTGGTGCCCGCGCGACCCTCTGCGGGGATCGGCGTGGTCGAGGTACAAAAGCTCGAGCGAGGTTGCGGCGCGCGGATGAACCCTCTGCGGGGATCGGCGCGGTCGAGGTGCGAAAACTCGAGTTTTTTTGCGATTTCTGATCTGTCCACGCGACCCTCTGCGGGGATCGGCGTGGTGGAGGTGCAAAAACTCGAGGTGTTTTGCGTCGGCGTGGTCGAGGTGAAAAAACTCGAGGTTTTTGCGTTTTCTGATCTGTCCGCGACCCTCTGCGGGGATCGGCGTGGTGGAGGTGCTAAAACACGAGGTCTTTTTGCGTCAACTCGAGATTTTTTGCGATTTCTGATCTGCCCGCACGACCCTCTGCGCGGTCTGCAAAAACTCGAGGTTTTTTTATCTTCCCGCGCGACCCTCTGCGGGGATCGGGTGAAGGTACAAGCTCGAGTTTTTTTTGCGATTTCTGTCTGCCCGCGCAACCCTCTGCGGGGATCAGCGTGGTCGAGGTGCAACAGCTCGAGCGAGGTACAAAAACTCGAGGTGTTTTGCGTTTTTGCGGCGTGCGGATGAACAATCTGCGGGGATCGGGGTCGAGGTGCGATAACTCGAGGTTTTTTTTGCGATTCTTGCGGTGCCCGCTCGGCCCTCTGCTGGGATCGGCGTGGTCGAGGTACAAAAGCTCGAGCGAGGTTGCGGCGCGCGGATGAACCCTCGCAGTCGAGGTGCGAAAACTCGAGTTTTTTTTGCGATTTCTGATCTGTCCGCGCGACCCTCTGCGGGGATCGGCGTGGTGGAGGTGCAAAAACTCGAGGTGTTTTGCGTCGGCGTGGTCGAGGTGAAAAACTCGAGGTTTTTTGCGTTTTCTGATCTGTCCGCGACCCTCTGCGGGGATCGGCGTGGTGGAGGTGCTAAAACACGAGGTCTTTTTGCGTCAACTCGAGATTTTTTGCGATTTCTGATCTGCCCGCGCGACCCTCTGCGTGGTCTGCACAAAACTCGAGGTTTTTTTAATCTGCCCGCGCGACCCTCTGCGGGGATCGGGTGAAGGTACAAGCTCGAGTTTTTTTTGCGATTTCTGTCTGCCCGCGCAACCCTGTGCGGGGATCGGCGTGGTCGAGGTGCAAAAACTCGAGGGTTTTTGCGATTCTTGCGGCGCCCGCGCGACCCTGTGCGGGGTTAGGTGGTGTCGAGGTGCAAAAAGTTGAGGTTTTTTTTGGCGTTTTTGCGGGCGGGGATCGTGCGTGTCGATGCGCTCTCGCTGTGGCGCTGTGCGAATTCGGTTTGGTCTCGGCGAAGCCTCTGCGGAGATCTTGCGCGTTGAAGCGCTCTCGCTCTATTACTCGCAAAATGGTCTTTGGAAGTTGTCTCGTGGTTTGCGCGCCTGCTTTCGCAATTGCGCGGTCGCGGGTTCGATTCCCCGGCAGCTCCGGCTCAAGCCAAGAAGCCGTGTACTCTTGGCGGCTCCGACCGGAAAATCGCAACCCTGAAGCGCAGACGTATAGCGCGCGGAGCACCTCCACAGCTCAGCTCAGGCTGAGCATCTCGCGCACAGATACAAGCGCCAAGCGTCTCGCAGAGAGAAACTTGCACAATGTGCATAGAACAGCTTGAAGACAGATGTCGAGCCGCTTGCGTGCAGCAGCTTGCAGAGGGCAACTTGCGCGCAGCAGCCTGGCGCAATGCAGCTTGCGCAGACACTGCCATGTTTCCTCTCGTAGGACGATGAGATGGAGCTCTCATGTGGCCATACACATTGAGCATCGCCGCGTGCAGACACGCTCGCCGGCTGGAATAGCGCTTGGGGAAAAATGCTTTCGGGCTAATCGTCCATTACCTGGAGGCGCATTTGAAAAACATGTGTCCTTGCCATTGCCCGTTTGCACGGCCAAATGGTTGCAGCGCTGTGTCTTCACGTTTTTCATGTTTTTTCACGGCCACTTTGCGTTTTTTCACGGCTTTTTCACGCTTTTTCACGGCCATGCGGCCCCTGTCGGATTTTCACGGCCAAATCGTTT